ATTATCAACTCGTGATAAAGGACAAGTCAAAGGAAAGAGTCTACGAATTCTTTGCACTTCTCAGAATTCATGTACCTTCCAGGTAATGTCCTCATTGAGTCATTACCTTATGGTCAATTTACTTCATCTTTGAGTTCTGAGTCTTTTAGTTCTGAACTTGAGTCTAGCCCTAATCCTAAATCTAATGATTATAGTCCTCCCATTACTGCTCATAAGGGAGGTGGGTCTTGCTCCAACATTCATTGTCTTATTATGTGTCATTTGAAAATCTCTCATCAATTTTTTGGGCTTTAACTTAATTTGTATTTTATGAAGATTCTTACTATGCAATATGCTCTTAAAGTTTCCATGTGAAATAAGGCTGTCTTCGAGAAAATGAAAACTTCGAGAAAAATGCCATGTGGGAATTGGTTGATCCATCTAGAGGGAATAAATCCGTCGGATGCAAATGTGTGTTTGTATTCAAGTATAATTTTGATCTCTCTTAGGAACAATACAAGACCCTATTGGTTGCCAAGGGATTCAATCAGACTTATGACATTAATTACTTAGACACTTGCCCCTAACCCAAAATTAAACTTTATAAAAGTTTTTCTATCACTTACAACTAATCTTGACTTACCCCTATGATAGTTGGATATAAAAAATGCATTTCTCAATGGAGACTTGGAGAAAAAAGTGTATGTGGATGCATCTCTATAATTTGGTGATAAGTTCAGTGTAAATGTGTGTAAACTGCAAAGTCCTTATAAAGGTTGAAGCAGTCACCGAGAGCGTGATTTGAGAAATTCACACTGTTTATGGTATAATCAAGGGCAAAGGGATCATACAATGTTTTTCGAACATTCAAATGATAGGAAGACAACCATATTGATTGTGTATGTGGTCGATATAATTCTCACGGAGATGACATATATGAAATGAACCGGTTGACGACTTCCCTCTCATTAGTTTTTTAAACCAACGACTTAGGATCTCCAAGGTTTTTTCTTGGCATGGAGGTTACTAGACCGAAGAACAAGATTATTGTTTCTCGACATAAATATGTTCTTGATTTTCTAAAGAGAATTGACATGAGCAGTTGTGGGCCTGTAGACTTTCCGACTCAATCAGAAACTGGGAGATGGAAATGAAGGTGATGCAATGAATAAAGCAGGATATCAAAAGTTGGTGAAAAATTTATATACTTACCACATATGTTTACTGTCAAGCATAATTCTGTTGGGTCTCTGGAACAATATAAGGCTTGATTGGTTGCCAAGGGATTCACTCAAAACTATGACATTCATTATTTAGAGACATTTGTCTCATCCCAAAATTCTTCTATCACTGACAACTAATCTTGATTGACCTCTACAATAGTTGAATTTAAAAAAATGCATTTCTTAATGGCTTGATTGACCTCTACAATAGTTGAATTTAAAAAAAATGCATTTCTTAATGGAGGACTCAGAGGAAGAAGTGTATATGGATGCATTTCCATGATTTAGTAAGAAGTTTGGTACAATGTATATAAGCTAAAAAGTCCTTATACGGGTTGAAGCAGTCACCGAGAGTGTGATTTGAGAAATTCACAGTTTTTGTTAAAGGTCAGGGGTGTAATTAAGGGCAAAGAAATCATATTATATTCTTCACGCATTCAAAGGATGGAAAGATTGTAGTACTGATTGTGTAAGAGGACGATATAGTTCTCACCGGAGATGACGTATATGAAATGAACTTGTTGAGAACCTCTATCTAGTCAATTTTTTAAACCAATGACTTAGGATGTCTAAGGTATTTTCTTGGCATTGAGGTTGCTATACTGAAAGGAAAGTACCACTTAGACTGAAAGGAAAGTTTTATAAAATGGTGGTGAGACTTGCAATGCTCTATAGTGCTGAATGTTGGCCTTTAAAAGATAAGCATAACACTAAGTTAAGTGTTTCTGAGATGAGAATGACTAGGTGAATGAGTGGCTTTACACTTAGAGACAAAATGTGAAATGAATATCTTCGTGATAGGGTTGGTGTAGCTTCTGTGACGGACAAAATTAGAGAATCCTCTTAGATGGTTTGGTCATATTAAACATCGACCATCTGATGATCCGATTATGAGAGTTGATGTTTTAGATTCAACTTATGTTAAGAAAGGCAGAGGTAGACCTAGGAAGACTCGGGCTTACTGTATAGAAAATGATCTTAATATATTAGAACTAAATGAAAAAAATGACACTAAACATAACACAATGGAGAAAAAAAATTCATGTAGCTGACCCCACTTAGTGGGATTAAGGCTTTGTTGTTGTTGTTGTTGTTGGAGGTTGCTATACTGAAGAACATGATTATTTCTTCCTAACATAAATATGTTCTTGATCTTCTAAAGGAAATAGGGGTGAGCAGTTGTTGGTCTGCATGCACTCTGATTGATTCCCTGGGAGATGGGAATGAAAGTGATGGAATGAATACAACTTTGACATGAAAAGTTTGTGGGAAAATTTATATACTTCTCATATATGCGGCCAAATATTGCATTTATTGTAAGTTTGGTAAGTCAATTTATGGATTCTCCCTATGAGAAACACCTTGAAGCTCTTATACGATTCTCATATACGTTAGAAATACACCAGACATGAGCCTACTCTTTCAGAAGACCACTGATGTATATTGGGCGGCTTCAATTGTTGACCGAAGATCGACGTCTGGATACTATACTTATGTCTTGTGAAATCTGGTTATATGACAAAGTAAGAAACATAATATGGTGGCAAGGAGTAGTGTTGAGGCACGATATCGAGCTATGACTAATGGAGTATATGAAATTTTATGATTGAAGATAATTCTTGAAGAACTGTGGATTCCAATAAACATATCAATGCAGCTGTACAGTGACAATAAAACTGCCATCAACATTGCAGAAAATATAGTGCAACATGATCGCACAAAACATATGGATATTGATAGACACTTCATAAAAGAGAAGATTGATTGTGGAGCTATTCATATAACTTTCACTCCAATAGCACAACAAATAGCAGATATCTTTACCAAAGAACTTTTCAAGCCTATTTTTAGTTCATCGTAAGCAAGTTGGACATGATAGACATCTATGCTCCCAACTTGGGGGGTGTCGAAAATTTAGATATCATCTATTTTTATTATTTTCTATTTTTAGTAGTTTCTACTTTTAGAATTATCTATTGCTGGTAATTCTTATTTTTCTTTTTTCTAGCATGAGATTTTGTTTCTTTCCCAATGTGGTGGTCTTCCACTGCTATTTATCTTGTAACCGTGTCTCAGGAAATTGAAGAGGAATAATTATTTTTCTGCTCCTAGAAACTGCAGTGCCTTGAGTTGACTACTATCTTTAAATCTAATGTCTCTACTTGTTTTCTGCATTGCAATAACAGTTATGGCCATGAAATTAGAATTTGTCCTTGTATTACTGAGAAACGTGACCAAATTTGACTATTAATTATTAGTTAGATGACAGGTCAGAGCTTTATCCACAAGGGTTGCTTTGTTTATTGACATGTTCTTAAGGAGGCTATGTGGGTGTGTTTGTGTAAATTTTTTTTAGCAATTTCCAAAAACGATTTAATTACTTCTAGTTATTTAAGTTTTTTGTAAGAAGTGCATCTTTTAAGACGATTAAACTGAAAGTTTGGGCAGTCAGGATCTTTGTGGGTTCAAGCTGGCTGATCAAATATTGACCAATCTGGAAGCTGTGTAGTGCAACATTAACTAATTAATTTAAAAAATGGTTGTGAAAGCAAAAGAAGGGATACAAGTCTCTTAAATGTAAAAAAGATCAGAAAACCTTTTTAGATAATGAGATTAGAGAACTTTACATTAAATGGTTTCCAAAACTGAGTTAAATAGTCATTGCAAGATTTAAGCTGCAAGCTGGCCCCATGTACTTTTTGTTGCTGGTTAGAGGCGAGCATTTGGGGTGTATGGGGAGTGGCTTGCGCTGTAATATGTAAATGGTGCAAATAATTGGTCTTGGACTACTGAGATGCTTGAAAATTTGGTATAGCCAACTTTGGAACTACTAATATGTACTGATAATACTTTTAGAGTTTTTAAAATTGGGGATGGGTTACCATCGACAAACCTCTCCCATTCGTCTATTCCATGTTTTATATGACCTCACACACAACCTTATAGCGAATCTATTGTTTATATTTTCCTTTGCTTGACACCCATAGAAATCCTCTCCATGTTCTGTCGCATGTGCTTTCCAATCCACAATTCACCGATCATTAAACTTATGCATAATCTCTCTAGTGATCTTTGCATCTCACTCTTCACACCGTGACCTCCAACTCCCACTGCTTTGTGCTTTTGCTTACCGTTTATAAGCACAAGCCTCCTTCGCACTAGCTTCTCCCTTTGTTGTTCTTCCGTTGTGTGGTTGTTGCCATGCCAATTAATAGAATCTAGTTTGGGATTTTGATGTATCAAGGTGGAATAGATGATCAAACATAAGTTAAGAATTTTGTAACCGTTTAAAAAAATTTCTTTTGTACAAATAAGTTCTCAAATATCATAAGAAAGCTACTAAAACATAAACTTTCATTAAAATGAAACAGATCTTATATTTAAACTGAGATGTGTGCGCATATCCTGAACTTTTTGTTGCAGAGATTGCAGAATTTATATCTAGGATAAACTATATTTTATTTTTGTAGAATTCTGAAATACTAATTTTCTAAGTTCTCCATTTTTGGGCTTATTTTTTTTTTTGGTAAGAATGCGACTGTCATGCTCTGCATTCGTCTATAAAATCAAACAACATGTTTTGCTTGACAGGATGTTTTAACTTTTTTGATGTAGGCCATCACAATAGCTATATGCCTCCTTAAAGTACATTCTTTTATTTAGCAAATTTTAAATTGATTTTTTTTTGAATTTTGTGAGCCGTAAACCTTTGAAAAGCTTTTTTAACGAGTGAGTGACAGGTTGAGAATTTTAGTTGTATTCATGAGGTGAAGTGCAGAAAAATTCTGTGTCTTGCAGGATTGATGCTCTTTCTCTTCTCCCGGTATATGTTGGAGGCCAGGATGTCCTGAAGATATTGTCATTTTGTCTATCTGTTCAGAAAGCAGTTAAGGTTGGTCTTATTATGCTAGTCAGCCGTTTTGATCATGTAATTTTTGCTCATTATTGCCATTTATGTTTTGCAGTCTTCAGATGCTATAATATTGGGAGACTCTTGTGTGTTTAGCTGCAAATATGTCAAGGTGAGATGCTAAAGCTTGCTAATCATAAATGCACATCTTATTTTATTTATTTTTCTCGTATTTCAAATCCTTTTTGCATTGTTTGTTAGACTGATTTCTGGTAAATATAATCTTTCAAATAGTTAATCACCTCACAGGAGTATTTTATGCACAAATTCGATAAACGTACACTATTCAAGTTCCATGAAGACCAAAAACCTTGTGTGGCATGCAAAATTAGCGCAAAATTTTTTCTACGTGATCATGTCAAAACTTCTCGTTATGATGATATATGCTATAAGTTATTTAACCTTACAAAACTTGCATGCTTCCCTTCCCATTACTGAAGTATAAAGTCGTCAAAATCTGTTGATGAAGTACAAATCAAATATATTAGTCTAGAATATAAGCCGACTTATATTCTAGAACAAATAGTTATTTATGATTAATACTTTGTGCACAATGAATTTTATGTGCTTATTACTTGACTTTTTCAATCTGATATTAGATTTACATTTGAATCTCTGAGCTTTGAAAATTTTGATTTCCGGACTCTCAATTTGTATTTGTTGTTAGAGAGCTTTGAGGGTCAAATTTTCTGCAGACATTAGATTGAGATAAGACACTACCCATAGATTTTACTCCCATTTTGCGAAGACCTTTTGATAGGAGGTTCTAGGTTTCCTATGGGCTCAAACCCCTATGGTTAATTACCCCTTTTGATAATAAGAGAACACTTTTGATTATGGCTAGTCTTTAAATATTGGTTATTTAACGTATACTAGCAATAGACATAGGGTTTAAGCTGTAAAATTTCTCACTTGGAGCTTGAAGCAGGAGGGGGAAATGATGATAAACTTGATCAAGATCCCATTGTTATGTTGTCCCGAGTCGTCATGCTCCCTGGTCTATTTAATCAGAAGAGGTAGTCGATCCAACCTAACTGAAGAATCATTGTCAGCAATCATGGGTTGCGTTGTTCAAGGGACCCTTGTAGATCTGAGATGGATGTTTTTTTAAGGGACACATTTATGTCCACTAAGCTAACAAAAGGTTTTGTGCAAATTAGGTGTACCCTTATGATTTGCAACTCAAAGGTCAGAAAGTTATTGAGGAATATACAGGTTGCGGCCGTGACCGTAATATAATGGTGTCAGTTGGTGGCAACCACCCGGTCAAAGGACTTTGATCATAACTTTTGTTTTGTAGAAGACCAAATTGCGTAGAGAACTTGGGTCACATCTTTACTGGCGTGAATTACTTTTGAGTGTGTATATAATTATACACTTGATATGACATTCTCTCTGTGCATGCTGAATTCAATCCGGAGTTTATCACCCTCGATAAACTGTGGTTGATGAAGTTCATTTTAATTCATTAACTAATTAATTTTATCTTGAATTTTTTGAACTATTTGCTTTAAAATCTTTGTTTTAATTAATTTGAAGTTGACCAATCTCGTTGAAATCTTCGGTTAATACGGCCATCATTGGGGATTTGAACTCTTAAAACTTTTATGTTTGAAATTTATTTGGAATTCATTAATTTTGTTATCTTTAGAATACCAGTTTTGTCAACTCCAGTCATGATGAGGAGGATCATACTAGATGATTTGAACTTATAAATTTTATATATGTGATTTGGACATTGTTGAAACTTACTAGACTTGTAAACTTCAGTTTTTAAGAAGAGAATCAAATTAGTTGAATGAGACTTACAACCCTACTCTATAGACAAGACGGTTTGATTGATTGCTTTTCAAAATATGAACTATTTGAGTGCAAATTTGGCCTTAACCCACATAGCTTTCTTAAGCTATTTGTTAGAACATTTAGAATTCTAGCTAGGGCTCATGCAAGTGGTGAATTTTCTTAAACAATGTCACATTGGCCCACACATTATTCTCAAATCTTGTATTTGAAAATTTAACTTATGGATCAGAGCACATGCGGGCGGATGCTTTCGAAATCGTGCACACATTTCAAGTACGAGACTTATAATCATCCAAATCTCTCCCAATCACTTGAATATTCATTGCTCATATGCATGCATGTTATACTTGACAAATTACTCTGATGCAGTTTATGCAATTTATGCATTTTTATAGTGACGTTCAACATATCTAGGGATTGTAATTGTACATTTTCTAAAAATGCTCGCACATATCTTATTGTCATGCATTGAAATTGGGAATATGTCTTAAAATACGGAAGCTAGCTTTAAAACCATTGAAATTTTAGTGATTTTTCTTTTATCTCATTAAAATGCATGCATGTACATTGAAAATGCCGACACAACTACTTGAAAGATTGCAGCATATTGTACAAATCTCAAGGTGCTGATTATTAACTTACAGCTCATGAAATCATTTAAAGTTTTTTGAAAGCTTATGTGCTAATTTTATATTAAGGGCATGCACAAAATCACATTTACTTCTTCAAAAGACCGCCTTCTGTTTGTTTTTGAGTTAGAATTGTAGATTCTGTTGCCGGTTTTCAGACTTTTAGAAGCCTCATATTTGAATCATATTTCAACCTTTATGGGATTAATTTGAATTTTAAAAGCCAAAATTCAAATTATTTTTAAATCCTTCCCAAATTCAATTTATTATTTTTTAAATTTTCTTATTTTTAAACCCAAATAGCCTAAATTTGAAAACCCAACTTCAATTTATTGTCATGCCCTGAGAGCCTACATTTTAAAAAGTTTTGTTCCAAATTATTTTGAAACCCTAAGAGCTTCAAATTCAAAGCCCAAATTCAAATTATTTTTAAATCCTATATTCAACTTTTATTTTAAAATTCACATTTTAAATTATTTCATAAGTTAGTCCAAAATCGTAAGTTATTTATCAATCCAAATCACTCAAAAAATTTGGCAGTTTCACTGCGTCAAACTCTGTTAGAGTCCACGGGGAGAATGCCAATTTTCTTAAGAGTCTTAAAAGACTCGTATGTTAGTGTTGTAAGACACTGCGACCGAGCAGCAAAAAAAAAAAAAAATTTTTAACCCACCGTCTTATAAGTTGTCATAGGCTTTCAATCTACCTACTCGTATGTTAGTGTTGTAAGACACTGCGACCGAGGAGCAAAAAAAAAAAAAATATTTTAACCCACAGTCTTATAAGTTGTCATAGGCTTTCAATGTACCCGCAAAAATATTAAATAACACGCAAGCATTTCCTCAAATATGCTTTACCTTCCCTAAATGACACTTAATTCCCAAGCACAAGTACTTGCGTTTTTTAGGATGAGTATTTTAAATCTTCTGAATTTTAAAAGAAATTCAAACAAGTCTGCAATTTTTCGAAACGGTACTTAATTCCCGAGGACGGGTGCTCGAATATCCTCGAATTGATATTTAAAAAAATTCAGCCCCAACCTCACTTTGTTATACCTTTGCGAGTGGGATCGCCAGCGACGATGATAATCAACGATGAAATGATGGACCACTGAAATAAAATAAAATGATTTCCTTTTATTATTTTTATACAATATAAAATACAATATATGAAATAATAAAGTGGGGAATTGGGTTCGGATAGGTGCGGGTTTGGTGCAAGTGAAATACGAGATTGGTGGGCTTGACTTAGGCTAGTAATTTAAGGAAACAGGGTTGCGGGTTGGGCTTGAGATCAAACTGTGAAAATTTGGGGTTTCTCTGTCATATAGAATAGTGGAGGCCTCAGTTTATATGCTTTTAAATAGAGGAAAAAAGGGAAACAAAAGGTAGTTTGTGCAAATAAGGAAGGTAGTTGGGTTCATGATAGAGAGGATGGGGTGCTTTTATGTGCGAACACAGAGAAGAACAAGTTAGCGGTTTAGTCTGTGGCTCAAACAGGGAACGAAGATTGCTGTGAGGGTTTGAGGAGGTGACGAAGTGGAAGGGTTGATGGCTCTGTTCACGTAAAGGCGCAGAGCTTTTCAGTGCAGGTAGTTTTGGAGGTCTCCAAATGGCGCAATCCTGTCATTGCTATGAAACTGAAGAAGAGGGGAGGCAAAGGCTTTCGTAAGCGGCCTTGTGCGGGGTGATCGGGCCGAAATAAGAGAAATATGAGAATTTCAGAAAACTTCGTACGCTACAATTTCGCCTGTGATTTCCTCGTTGGCCTAGATCCAACTATATTGTAAGGGTTGTTGTCACGAAGGGGAGATGCGACAGAAAAACTGGTAAAGGGGACGTAGGGCTACAATTGATTGGAGCGAACGACAAAAGGATGAGGACCCCAGTGTTTCGTCAGCTAACAAGGAGGAGGAAGGTTTATGAGGTTTCCTGCGAGAAAAAAGGAGTAGGGAGGGCTTCGACTGAACTTTCTTTTGGAGAGGAAAAAGGGAAGATGGGATTTGCTGTGAACAAGGGAAGTCACTCTCTGTGGTTTGGTGTGATTTAAAGTGAGAAAAATGATGAGGGAAGAGTTATGGGAGTATGTCGTGGCTTTTACTTCGAACCAGAGAAACGTCTCGCACAAATAGTTATGGGAAATATTTACTCGTTTGTTGTTTGGGGCTTGTAGAGGGATTCAAAATTAACCTAATATTTGCTAAGTGTAATCAAACATTAATTAACACTATTAATAAATGTTAATAGATTTTTTAACATAAACAGAAACTTCAGGTTTAGGTGCCTTAGCCGAAGGAAGGAGTCGACGTCGCTAGTTGCTTTGAGTTTTCCTGAGGCCATCACAGTGTTGTGTTGGCGTGCGTGAAGGAGAGTGGCTCGCCATACAGGTTAAAACTTAGCCGCTCGTGAAGGAGAGGTGTGGGCTTAGGTGATACTACACTCTCCGTCGAAGCCAGCCAAGAGTCAAAGCATCTTTAGTTCGTGTGTGACGTTGCTATCGAGTCGAGGAAGGCATACTGAGTCGCACTTCTCGTGCGAGGGAGACCGTCAAACCCTAGCTTAGTAAGTTCGAAGAAGAAGAAAAGAGGAGAAGAAGAAGGAGCATGTGCAGAGTGAAGAAACAAGCCTTGTAGTCGACTTGTAAGTGGCTTCAAATAAAAGAGAGTTTAGAGGAAGAGGAA